CTAAACTCATTTGACACTGTGTCTTCAGCCCCATTCTCATCATTTAATCCCCAATCTTCTATTTCAGGTGCCTTCAACCCTCAGACCAGTGCTTGCTAATGCCTCGTAATGCGCCCTCCTCCCCAGTCACAGAAGGCTCCACACACCTAAAATGAGCCTGAAGTAACCCCCACCTCACCCCACCCACCACACACGCTCTCTCACCAAAAAGCTGTAGAAGCTCCCGCCCCTCAAACCTCTTGAACCGCCTGCCTCCCCAACCCTTGGATCAATTAATTCTGCCCTCTGTACTCAGGCACATCACATAACCACCCCCCATCACTCAGACCTCATCACTGAACTCAACCACTCACATATTTATTTCTACTTAGATGTGTAGTAAACAGCTAAAACGTTAAGTCCAAAATAGAACTGCTGACTCTTCCCCCACCTCAGTCAATGAAGGCACTTCCGTCTTTCCAACTGCTTCGGCCAAAAACCTTGAGTTCTGCCTCTCCCACTCCACACATTTAATCCTTCAGCAAAGCCTGTCCCCTCTACCTTCAAATTATATCCAGAATCTACATCTGATCCCTTCCCTAGAGTTCCAAGCCACCATTACTTGCATCTCAAGGGGATTACCGCAGTAGCCCCCTAAGCGGAATCCTTATTTCCACTTCTGCCCACTTCCACCTGTTCTCCATGCAGCAAGAGCGATCCTTTTCAAACACAATTCAGATCGTGTTACTCCTCTGCTCAAAACTCTCCAACAGGTTTCCCAGCACACTTAGAGTTCAAAAGCTACCTCCTGGGACTTCCCTGGTGGCACAGTGGTTAAGAATCCACCTGCCAATGCAGGGGACACGGTTTGAGCCCTGGTCCGGGAAGATCCCACATGCCGTGGGGCTACTAAGCCCGTGCGCCACAACTACTGAGCCTGCGCTCTAGAGCCCGCGAGCCACGACTACTGAGCCCACGTGCCACAACTACTGAAGCCTACATGCCTAGAGCCTGTGCTCCGCAACAAGAGAAGGCCACCGCAATAAGAATCCCGCGCACCGCAATGAACAGTAGCCCCCACTCGCCGCAACTAGACAAAAGCCCGCGCGCAGCAACGAAGACCCAACGCAGCCCAAAATCAATCAATTAATTAATTTAAAAAAGCAAAAAAAAGGTACCCCTCATTTGGTTCCAGCCACCCTGTTGCTCTCATTTGCCAAGCATGCTCTGGCCTCTAGGATTTTACACTTGTCCCCTATGCTAGGAAGACCCTCCCAGATGGCCACAGGGCTCTTTCCTTTCATACAGGTCCGAGGCTCAATGTTACCTCTTCAGAGGCCTCCCCTGGCCACCCTATCAAAATAGCTCTCCCACCCCACCATCCGTTATTGATCCTCTTTCCCTGCTTTATTTTTCTCCCTAGCACTTGCATTGCCTAATATTTTATTATTTTTTATGTGCATTGCCTCCCCCACCGGAACGTAAGCTCCATGTGGGCAAGGAGTCTGCCTAGTTCATTAATACCCGCTCAGCGCCGGTGGCAGGTGCTCAATAAATATCTGATCATATCGACCACCTCTTTCAAAGACCTCATCCCCTCCGATAATTACTCCCCCATACCCAAGGTATCCCCAATCCTGTCCTCTCGGGACACACCCCCAGATCTAGACACAAGCAATCTCTTCGGGTACCTCCAGCACCCCCAGACTCTCCGAGCCTCTCAGGAACCTCACTTGAAATTACTTGCTCCAAAACCCCTCGGAAAAAACCCTCACTCTTTCAGACTGGCCCACTCCTTAAAGGCCACAAAAATGAATGCAAGCTCTCATCTACTGGGCTCGCCAGTCTCCCCAGCAACCAGCAGAGAACAGGTTTCCACTACCTATGAATGAATGAACTATGCCCCCCCGCCACTTTCATTGTTTCCATGCATTCCTGGCCCCTCCTATTCCCTAAGTCCCCAACCCCGATCCAAACGCCACCATCGCTCCCTTCGGGCGTCGAGTTCCTGAGTCTGCATCCTCCGGATCGCTCAGAACTCCCCCAGCTCCCCTTCTAGAGGTCGCCAATTCCTCGGAACAGCCCTCCCACCACCTAGGACGTCCCCGCTTCCCATACCTTCCGAGGAAACATCCCAAATCAACCCCTCCAGTCCTCTCAGGAAGGCGACCACGGCCGGGTACACGATTCCCGCCTCCTCTCTTCAAATTAAACCCTCCGGCTCCCCAACGCCTCAGGCCAGACCACCCTCCAAACCCTCAGTCCCACAAGCCGCACCGGCCCTTACCGTTTCTGGGCCTCCAATCCCCAGAGACGGATCTGCCGGTCATACTGAGCCGCCTCCTCCTCGCTGATACCGCCGCCTGCCTCCTCCTTCTCCACCATGGCGCCGGCTCTCAGCGCCGGAGCTCTGGTCCTGCTCACGGCAACCGCCCGCCGGCCCCACAAGCCGCCAACCGCCACGGGCCGCGCGCCCAGGCCGCATCTGCGCCTGCGCCAGGGATCGCGCCTGCGCACTACCTTCTCCAAGCCCCGCCTGCCACTGGACCCTGGAACCACGTGGACCTCCTTAGCCTCCGAGGTGGGCGGGCATCAGCCAGTCACGTGATGGAGTCTCCTGCCAATCCTGGCCAAAAATCCGCGCGGCTTCTGGCCCCACAAGGATACCCAAGTGGTTGTTTATGAGGCCTTCAATTCAGCAAGTAAAATGGAGCGTCTGCCGAAATCCCGGTAACGGGGATGTTGTGAAATAGGGTGGTGAGTAAAATAGATAAAATCCTGCCCTCATGGAACTTACGTTCCCTTGAGGAAAAACTTACGTTCCCAAAGGAAAAAATATATAAATCAGGCCCTCAATAAATGTTTTGGAGAAAATTAAAACAGGATATGGGACTACAGGGTGACAGGTGATTGTTGAGCAGAGATCTGAAGGAACCGTAGAAACAAGCTGGGTAGATAACTGGGAAATGTAGCATTCCTGGACAGAACAGCAGCTGCAAAGGCCCTGATGCTGGGACATGCTAACGTAATTAAGGAGCTGTGGAGAGGGCAGGGTGGCTGGAGCAGAGTGAGAGGGTGGTAAGAAATTAAATCATAATATGAAGCAGGTGGGGAATCTTGTAGGTTAGTAATAGCTAATAATAGCTAATATGTGTTTTCCCTAGGCAAGATACCTTTTTATTATTCATTCAACAAATACTTATTAGGAACTTGTTTGGGAATTCCCTGGCAGTCCAGGGTTAGGACTCTGCGCTCTCACTACCGAGGGCCCTGGTTCAATCCCTAGAACGTGCTTGTCAACCATCAGTCTCTGTGCTAGGGGTAGAATAGTAAAAACATTTTTTTTTAATTTTTAAATAACAATTAAAAATAGCTGCCCTCTCATGGAATTTAAATGGGTTTTATATGGATTATTTCTCTAACCCTTGCAAAAGTAGATAGATTCTTTAATATTCCCATTTCACAGCTAAAGAGTCTGAGGTCCAGCAAAGTTAAGTATCGATATTAGTGGCCTGAACAAAGTCTTATATCTTAGAAGTAGTGAAGCTAGGATTCAAATCCAGGCCCACGTGCTTCCTCAGGAGGTTATACTGCTGGTGGTACATTAAGCTCCTACTATGTGCTCTGACCTTGTCCAGTGAGGTACATACCCTATGAACCTCAGAGATAGATATTTCCTCCCCTTTTACAATATGACTCTGAGACTCAGAAAAGGGTAGCAATTCATCAGAGGTCAAAATATCATTCAAGGGACTTCCCTGGAGGTCCAGTGGTTAAGACTCCATACTCCCAATGCAGAGGGCCTGGGTTCGACCCCTGGTCAGGGAACTAGATCCCACATGCTGCAACTAAGACATCACATGCCACACGTAAACATCCCTCATGCTTCAACTAAAACCCGGCACAGCCAAATAACTAAATATTTTTTTTAAATATATCATTCAAAAAATATGGAGGGACTTCCCTGGTGGCGCAGTGGTTAAGAATCCGCCTGCCTATGCAGGGGACACGGGCACGAGCCCTGGTCCAGGAAGATCCCACATGCCGTGGAACAACTAAGCCCGTGCACCACAACTACTGAGGCTGCGCTCTAGAGCCCATGAGCCACAACTGCTGAGCCCACATGCCACAACTACTGAAGCCCGTGCACCTAGAGCCTGTGCTCCATGACAAGAGAAGCCACCACAATGAGAAGCTGGCACCACAATGAAGAGTATCCCCCGCTCGCCACAACTAGAGGAAGCCCACGCGCAGCAACAAGGACCCAATGTAGCCAAAAATAAATAAATAAATAAATTTATTTTTTAAAAAATAGAATATGATAGAAGTGAATGCTGGGCCAATTTCTGAGTCCAGCCCTTAAGAAATGGACAGCCTCCCCTCAAAAAGCTAAACGTCGAATTATCATAGGACCCAGCAATTCCACTCTTAGGCATATACCCAAAGAATTGAAAGCAGAGACTCAAACAGATATTTGTATGCCAATCATCATGGCAACATTATTCACAATAGCCAAATGTGAAACAACCAAATCCATCCATCAGGTGATGAATGGATAAATAAAATGTGGTAAATCAATACAATGGAATAATATTCACCCATAAAAAAGGATGAAGCACTGATACATGCCACAATTTGGATGAACCTCGAAAATATTATGTAAGTGAACGAACCCAGATACAAAAGGTGATGAAAAAGAAGTAGGTAGTGGTGATGGTTGCATGACACTGTGAATGTACTTAATGCCACTGAATTGTTCACTTAAAACTGGTTAAAATGGTGGATTGTATGTTATACATTTTTACCACAATTTTTAAAAAATTAATAATGTAATACACCCAAAATGACTGAATTGTACACTTTACAGCATTTCTTTTTTTTTTTTTTTTTTTTTTGAGGTACGCGGGCCTCTCACTCTTGTGGCCTCTACCATTGCAGAGCACAGGCTCCGGACGCACAGCCTCAGCGGCCATGGCTCACGCGCCCAGCCGCTCCGCTGCATGTGGGATATTCCTGGACCGGGGCACGAACCTGCGTCCCCTGCATCGGCAGGCAGACTCTCAACCACTGCGCCACCAGGGAAGCCCAAATTGTACACTTTAAACGACTGAATTGCATGGTCTGCGAATATCTCAGTGAAGCTGCTTTTAAAAAAAGGAAGTGGTCATCTTCCACTTTCTGTTGGGACACTTGCTCTTAACCCCAGCCTCCATACTAGCACAAGACAAAGCACCTTATGGAGACGTCCACATGGAGAGGAACCAAAGCTTCTGACCCTCAGCCCGGCCAACAGCCCCAGCCAACAGCCAGCACCATCTTGCTGGCCACGTGAGTGAGCCGTCTTGGAAGGAGACCCTCTGGCAGACAGTCAAGTCACCCCAGAGGGAGGAGAGAGAAGCCATTTTTGCCAAGCCGTGCCCAAACTGCTGATCTGTAAGAAAAATAATTGTTTGCTGCGAATTCCCTGGTGGTCCAGTGGTTAGGACTTGGCCGCTTTCACTGCTTGGGCCCCAGTTCCCCTGGTTGGGGAACTAAGAACCAGAAAGCCCTGCGGCGCAAGTTTGCTGATCACTTGCTACAGAGCATTAGATAACCCGAATATTCTCCCCACCCAATTCTCTCTTCTCCTATTCTCTCCGTTTTTGCCCAACCCCAATTCTCTTTCTCTCCCTGACTTCAGTTCCTTTCTCTGCTGAAAGTGGCAGAAAAATAAACAGAAACTTTGAGAAGTGCTGTCAAGGAAAAGAAGGAGCTTTGACAGTGTCTGGCTTAGTGTAGGAGTCAGGAAATAATATTGTGAGAATGTGAACTCACTCTCCATTTTTCTGAATTTAGTCTATCTGATAGGTTTATTCATTTACATTTCCCTGAGGATGTCCTCAATGCCCAGCCCTGTACTAGGCAATATATAACCTCTAGGGGGAGTATTTTGTACTGTGGTTTCAGGGAACATCTCTCAGAGGAAGTAATGACCAAACAGACTCTGGAGGAATGAAAAGAAGTCCGGTGACTGTGCCATGGTGACCCCAGGGGACAAAGGGATCATTGAGAAACCAGATCATGAATTTTTTAAAAACTGAGATATAATTGACATATAACATTGTATTAGTTTTGTGTATGGTCTTTTTTATTTTTTCATAAATTTATTTATGTATTTATTTATTTTTGGCTGCGTTGTGTCTTGCTGCACACGGGCTTTCTCTAGTTGCAGCGAGCAGGGGCTACTGTTTGTTGAGGTGTGTGGGCTTCTCCTCTTGTTGCGGAGCACAGGCTCTAGGCGCGCGGGCTTCAGTAGTTGTGGCACAGGGGCTCAGTAGTTGTGGCTCGCGGGCTCTAGAGCGCAGGCTCAGTAGTTGTGGCGCACGGGCTTAGTAGCCCCACGGCATGTGAGATCTTCCCGGACCAGGGCTCGAACCCATGTCCGCTGCACTGGTAGGCGGATTCTTAACCACTGCACCACTAGGGAAGTCTCTTTATTTTTTTTTAAGCCTGGAAATCTTTTTGATAATTGCAATATGTGATCATTGTACTTTGAGGCAAACAGAGAATGTAAAAAATTCAGGATCCTAGGGAATTCCCTGGTGGTCCAGTGGTTAGGACTCTGTGCTTTCACTGCAGAGGGCCCAGGATCAATCCCTGGTCGGGAGACTAAGATTCTGCAAGCCACTGGCTCAGCAAAAAAATAAAATAAAATAAAATTCAGGATCCTGAGCACTAAAGATGCAAGTCAACTCTTCCAGAATGAGCACTGCTTTGCTTAGAATAATTTGAGGCTGTCTTTGAAATGAGCAAGTTTGGGAAGCACATGCCTCTTCAGATTTGTCATGTTTCTTCCAAATATTGCTGGGCCCCCTAGGAAAGGCCCTTTCCTAACTGCCTTCCTGACCCCCAATTCAGCCTCCAATCATGACCTTACCCCTTATCTTACTCTAGAGGATGAGATGCAGGTGCAGATGGTTTGAAGTTCAGGGACAGAATGAGAAGAGCCATTTGATAATTTTAATTTTATTTTATTCTGTCAAAAATTTTTATATTTGGGACTTTTAATAGGCCCTTTTTTGTCCTATGAGTTATAGTATACTGTATCTTCATAATTAGTTATGGTTTATGATATTGACTTATATAACTGATATGTTTGTATCATTATAGTTAATTTTTAATTCTAATGAAGGGAAAAAGTGACACCAATAAATCAAAGATGAAGTTAACCAGGCTTCCCTGGTGGCGCAGTGGTTGAGAGTCCGCCTGCCGATGCAGGGGACATGGGTTCATGCCCCGGTCCAGGAAGATCCCATATGCCGCGGAGCGGCTGGGCCCGTGAGCCATGGCCGCTGAGCCTGCGAGTCCGGAGCCTGTGCTCCTCAACGGGAGAGGCCACAACAGTGAGAGGCCCGCGTACCGCAAAAAAAAAAAAAAAAAAAAAGAGAAAGTTAACCAATTAAAAAAACTTGGATCTTCAAGCTTAAAAAAAAAAAAAAAAAAAAAAAAGATCTTCAAGCTTACACAAAGTAGGTCCAGGGCTTCCCTGGTGGCACAGTGGTTAAGAATCCGCCTGCCAACACAGGGGACACGGGTTTGAGACCTGGTCCGGGAAGATCCCACATGCCGCAGAGCAACTAAGCCCACGCGCCACAACTACTGAAGCCCACATGCCTAGAACCCATGCTCCGCAACAAGAGAAGCCACTGCAATGAGAAGCCCACGCACTGCAATGAAGACGAGCCCCTGCTCGCCACAACTAGAGAAAGCCCATGCACAGCAACAAAGACCCAATGCAGCCAAAAACAAATAAAAATAAAATAAATTTATAAAAACAAGAAACAGTCCAATGAATATTTACATAACTTTATCTAGATTCATTAATTTTAAGTTTTGACACATTTATTCTCTCTCTCACACGCACACACACATTTTATATATATATATATATAATTTTTATTTTGCTAAACTATTTTAGAGTTAGTCATCCCAGGTCTTTAAATAAATGCAGGGAAAAGTTTTGAGAATTTTTTTTGAGAACTACAGATCTCACCAGGAAACTCTGGAAGGCCAGATTCTCTTAAACATTTCTGGTACATGAAAAGCCAAATATGCACAAATTCCTTAAACCAAAAGATTCGTTCCTGGGACTTCCCTGGTGGCGCAGTGGTTAAGAATCCGTCTGCCAATGCAGGGGACACAGGTTTGAGCCCTGGTCCGGGAAGATCCCACGTGCCACGGAGCAGCTAAGCCCATGTGCCACAACTACTGAGCCTGTGCTCTAGAGCCCATGAGCCACAACTACTGAGCCTGTGTGCTGCAACTACTGAGCCCGCATGCCTTGAGCCCATGCTCCGCAAAAAGAGAAGCCACCACAATGAGAAGCCGGCGTACTGCAACAAAGAGTAGCCCCCACTCAGCCACAACTAGAGAAAGCCTGTGCACAGCAATGAAGACCCAATGCAACCAAAAATAAATAAATAAATAAATTTTAAAAAATTCATTCCTGAGGTCTGGGTCACTTGAACATTTCTATATTTAACTCCAAATATTCCCCAGCGTTAAATGATGTCAACTAGGGAAAAAATTATGGCGAAAAGGGGATTCACTAAGTTCTCTTTTTTTAAAAATCAGTATTTATTTATTTATTATTTTTGGCTGCGTCCGGTCTTAGTTGCGGCATGCAGGCTTCTTTCTAATTGTGGCACACAGGCTCCAGAGTGCATGGGCCCTGTGTTTGAGGCACACCGGCTCTCTAGTTGTGGCACGTGGGCTCAGTAGTTGCGGTGCACGGGCTTAGCTGCTCCGTGGCATGTGAGATCTTAGTTTCCCAAGCAGGGGTGGAACTGGCATCCCCTAGATTACCAGGGAAGTCCCTCACTAAGTTGTCTTGATCATCACTGTGGCTGATGGTATTTTGCAAAGATGGGTACAATAATATCTCTCATCCTACATACTCTTCTCGCAACATCCCTTTGACACTACTTCCATTGAAGGGGTGGGAGGTCTATGTTTCCTTCCTTGAAACTGGACTGGATTTGGCGACTGTTTGACCAATAGAATGTGGCAAAAGGGACACTGCTTAACTTCTGAGCTAAGTCAGGAAAGAGCAGGCCACTTCCACCCTGTTCATGGGCTTACATACATATATATCTATTTTTTGCAGATTCTTTTCCCTTATAAGTTATTATAAAATATTGAGTATAGTTCCTGTGCTATACAGTAGGTCCTTGTTGGTTATCTGGCTATGAGTTTATAATTGTTGAAGTTGGATGATGGGTACATGAGGGTTCATTTTACTCTTCCCTTTATTTTTGTGTATCTTTGCATTTTTCCATAATAAAAAGGTTGTTTTTTTTTTTAACTTTTTTTAAAGTTCTGAATCTAAAGCTATCGAACTATGCCGTGCTACTATTTCCAATCACAGGATCAAATGATCCAATGACAGGATCAAATAATCTCTGTGCAGGAAAGACTTTTAGAAGTCATGGAATGACTGGGCAGCAGAGGGCTATATCAAGTATCTTTTGGATAAGACTTTGGAAATAAACACTTTTGCTGAGTTGCCTTATATTATTAAAGAGAAATGTAAACGGATCATAGAAAGGAAAATAAAGGAGTCAATCTCTTTTGAAGAGCGAAAACAGATCATTAGCGTTGAATGATTTATTTGTTAATATGTTGACCTTGAAATTGACCTTAATTTCCATGGCATGTACTCATTTGCATTTGGTTAGGGAGTGATCTGAGCCTTTACCTGTGAGTATTTAGTAACTCTTGTCAAATGATCACTTTGTTAAAAAGAGCCCTGAAAAGTAAAGCTAACTGCTCTATAAATTATTTTCTCTGCACTTCTAGACTCATTCAACATCTAAAAGTGTCCCCTTTCCCTCTTTCCCCTTATACATTTCTAAAGCTTATAGAGAAATTTCAATGTAATGATATATTCTCAAATTTATATATTTTTAAACTTTTTTTTTACAGAAGTGAAATTCACATAACATAAAATTAGCCATTTTATTTTATTTTTTGGCTGCGTCACATCATGCAGGATCTTATTTTCCTAACCAGGGATCGAACCCGTGCCCCTTGCAGTGGAAGCCCAGAGCCTTAACCACTGGACTGCGAGGGAAGTCCCTAAAATTAACCATTTGAAAGTGACCAGTTCAGTGGCATTTAGTACAGCCACCATTGGCAACCACCATCTCTATCAAGTTCCAAAACATTTTTATTACCCCAAACATAGTGGTATACATTTTGTAAATTTCCAGGAGTCTACCATGACTTTGCTATGCACACAATTCCAAAAGAACTGGAAAAGTTCAGCATGACAGCTTAATATACCTTAGTGTAAACTGTTCTTTCCATTATTTATGAACTATCGTTAACTGCGTTCATTAGGTAATCATTCATTACCAACGTAATGTCGCAGGACATCCTATCATCCCCACTCCCTATCCTCTAGTGCCGGTAGGTAACAACCTCCTCATTATTGTGATGTCCCAAAAGTTCACGCAAATTTCCAAAACATCCCCAAGGGAGCAATATTGTCCCCCTGAGAATCAGTTGACGACCAAAAATAATTTCCCTCCATAATTTTCAAAATGTCCTCTAGGGGGCGACATCATCACCTTAAGAATTAGGTAGACCAAGGATCATCTAAACTGGACCTCTTTACCTCCGACCTCCCCAATAAATCCAAGGTTGGATTAGCAAGAAAGAGGTGGAAATAGCTATCGGGTTGGCAATCAGTAGGATCCAACACACCGTAATGTCTCTCTTTGGCCAATGGTCTCCTTTTTTCCCCAGGGTTTCCAGAGGTTGGAGCCAGCTGCTGGTGCTGGTTCTACGCCGTGTGATGTGTCTTCTCTCTAAAGGACTGCTCATCCGTGGCGCAAAGAACCCATCCTAGAGCCACCCCAGGAACTAGAAAAAACAAATCTTTTGCCAGAATTATGATGTTCCAAGAGTACAATGAAACGTGTGCCGTGGAGGCATTGTTCAGACTTATGGGCATTACAGAAGGTTCTGTCTCAGAAAAATACAGGAACCTGCCTGCTCAAAGATGTTTTGGAGATCCAAAAGAAGAGGTATGTTGGAATGCAATATTTTTTCCAAAACAAAAGGCGAGTTGCTGAAACTTGTGTCTCCCCCGCCCACGCACTACAAAAAAGCCAAAATGATTGGAGGCCCTCTTGGAGTGCTGGAGGCAATTTGCTTCACGGTTGGGAGACTTGCTCTCACTCATCAGCAAAGAAAACTCTAAAGCTTCTGGGCCCCATGCAAGAGGAGGTTCTCTAGCTGGTCCAAGATATAGTGTATCGGAGAGGGGAAATTTCTCTTTTCACCCCTCTTGAGTTCTTGTGGCTGGATTAGTAATAAAATTGACACAAGACAGATTAACAGGAGAAAAAGAGACACATTTTAATCCTTGCCCATGGAGGTCTCATAGAAATGGAACCTAAGAAGTGGCCAAAACAGGCAACTTCTAGACAAAAATTGTTTCTTTCAGACAAAGAAATAATAAATTGGAGAGTAATTGACAAAACAAAGAAACTTACGTTTGGGTGCTTCATTACTAAGGAATTTAAGCAAAGTTTGGGCTTGGGTAGTAAATTAGTAAAGAAGTAACTGTTTATATTGTTTATATAGCCTTCTTGGCCCTGAATTCCCTGTCTCTGGTGATAAGGGAGTCTTTCTACCTCTCAGTACAGGGAAGACACCTTTCACATGGGAGATATATTTCCTGTTTTCAGGGAGACAGAGAGGAAGGTCAAAGTGTCCCTCTTGTATCAGTCATTTTTTCAGTAACTTTCATTCGAAATTATCAATATGCCGTTGAGGTATATTTTGGGATGGCCTGCCCTAGGTCCCTACAAGTGCAGAGGACTCTGCCATTTGGGTCTTATAATGCAGTGATCCAGGGGCTCTCAAAAGTGGTGACTACACTACAGTTTGTCTGGTTTACTATTGATGTGCATTTAGGAAGTTTCCAGTTAGGGGTTCTTTCGAATAGTGCTGCTGTGAGCATTCTTGTTTGTACCTTTTAAAAAAAATTTTTTTTAATTGAAGTATAGTTGATTTACAATGTTGTGTTAATTTCTGCTGGACAGCAAAGTGACTGTTTTATATATATGTTCTTTTTTTAAAATTTTTATTTATTTATTTTAGTTTTGGCTGCGTTGGGTCTTTGCTGCACACGCGCTTTCTTTAATTCCCGCGAACGGGGGCTACTCTTTGTGGCAGTGCATGGACCTCTCTATGCGGTGGCTTCTCTTATTGCGGAGCACCAGCTCTAGGCGCAAGGGCTTCAGTAGTTGTGGCACGCGGGCTCAGTAGCTGTGGCGCAGGGGCTTAGTTGCTCCGCAGCATGTGGGATCTTCCCAGACCAGGCCTCGAACCCATGTGCCCTGCCTTGGCAAGCGAACTCTTAACCACTGCGCCACCAGGGAAGCCCTATATATTCTTTTTATATTCTCAGTTTTACATGTTTTTCATTATGGTTTATCGCACTGAATATAGTTCCCTGTGCTATACCGTAGGACCTTATTGTCCATCCATTCTATATGTAATAGTTTGCATCTACTAACCCTAATCTTGTTTGTACCTTCTGTATGCACTTGTTGGATATATACTTTGGGGTTTGTCAACGAAAAAAATTAATCAGTTGATCTAGGAAAGAAATGGAAAATTTTATTTGAGCCAAATGGAAGATTATAACCTGGGAACAGCCTCTCAGAAAGCTCTGAGAACCGTTCCACCCATTACAGGTCAAAGCACAGTTATATAGGTTTTTGAGACAGAAGGCTGTACATTAAATGACATAGATAGTTTGCACAATCCAGATCTGTGAGTACAAAGTGATGGGTCCTGTGTCCCCTTACAAGATCCAGAAGGAATGCTATCTTTTAAGGAGTTGTCTTGTTGATGCCTGGAGAATGTTTCTCTTTATGGTAGAGCAGGTATTTCTGCCAATGGGGGAGGTTTGGTCGATGCCTAATGCAGATACACAGTGCGCTGCAGAGGGGAGAGAGGAGGCCAAAGGGCAGAGAAAAAAATGTTTATGTTTAAACTTTTCTTATCTTGCCATAAAACATGAATTTTATTTCACAGGTTGGAATTGCTCTATCTTGGTGTAGGTGTACGTTCAGCTGTAGTTGATAACTGCCAGGCTATTTTTCAAAGTGGCTCTAAGGGAACTCCTGTGTTTCTCCATTACTAGAATACTTCTGTATCTTGGTCACCAAATGCGTGGAGGTTTTCCCACACCAAGCAATTCTCCAACTGGCATGGGGTCCTACACTTCAATTCAGTTCTGACATTAGCTGGAGTTAGCATGAGATCCTGCAAGTTAAGGGCTTGTTGCAGGAAGGGGGACCCCTTCCAGGGCCCGAGAGAGGGCTCTTGTCTAACACTTGGAAATGAATTGTCCGAGGAGACACACGTGCTGACAAAGCAAAAGGCTTTATTGGGAAGGGGCACCTGGGTGGAGAGCAGCAGGGTAAGGGAACCCGGCAGAACTGCTCTGTCACATGGTTCGCAGTCTCAAGTTTTACAGTGACGGGGTTAGTTTCCGGTTGTCTCTGGCCAATTATTCTGACTTAGGATCCTTCCTGGAGGCGCACGCATCTCTCAGCCAAGATGGATTCCAGCGTGAGGCTTTCTGGGAGGCTGGCAGGACATATCATCTCCTCCCTCCTCCTTTTGGCCCCTCCTGAATTCTTCTGGGTTAGTTTTACAAGACATACTGTGGGCTGGCGTGTCCTCCCTCCTTTGGGCCCCTCCCGCATTCTCCCAGTTCGTTTTCGGTGGCAGCACCCTGAGCCTTATTGGGACCACTTGCTGCGAAACAGCTCATGCAGGAGGTTATCATCATGTCTAGCCAAGGCGGGTGGTTTCGGTCAACGATTCCCTAACAGGCTCAGTTCCAGGAGATGGCCCACCTGCAACTTCAAGTGAAGTTGGCAAGTACCTACAGATTGGAGGTTCCCACAATCCCTTCTTGCAGTTCAATTAATTTGCTAGAGTGGCTCACAGAACTCAGGAAAGCAGTTTACTTAGAAGATTACCAGTTTATTACAAAGGATATGAAAGAATGCTAACAGAACAGGTAGATGAAGGGATGCATAGGGCAAGGTCCAGAAGGATCCAGAGCACAGAACACAGAAGCTTCGGGAATTCCCTGGTGGTCCAGTGGTTAGGACTCCACGCTTTCACTGCCCAGGGTGCGGGTTCAATCTTTAATCCCTGTTTGGGGAACTAAGATCCCTCAAGCCATGTGGAGAGGCCAACAAACAAACAAAAAACCCCACAACACAGAAGCTTCCTTCCCCTTGGAGTGTGGAGTGTACCACCTTCTTGGAACATGGATGTTTTCTTATTCACCAACCCAGAAGTTCTCCAAACCCCATAGCTCAGGGATTTTTAGGGAGGTGTCACTATATAGGCACGATTGATTAGATCATTGGCCATTGGTGATTAAGCTAATCTCCAGCCCTTCTCCTTTCTCCTAGGGGTTGGAGAGTAGGACTAAAAGTTGCAAAGCTCTAATCTCCTGATTGGTTCCCCTGGCAACCAGCTTTGTGGCTTTCCAAAAGTCACCTCATTAACATAAACTCAGGTGTGGTTGAAAGGGGCTTGTATGAATAAGAAAAGGCACCTTTATCTATAGCTCTTATCACTTAGGAAAGTTCTAGGGCTTTAGGAGCTCAGTGCAAGGTACAGGGACAAAGACCAAATATGTATTTCTTAATATAAATCACAATACACATGGTTAGTCCAATTTATAGTCCTATCAGCAGTGTAGGAGAGTTCTGGTTGCTCCACATTAGCACCAATACCTCGTTTAGTCACACTGTGCAATACTACACAGAAATGAGAATGAATGAACTTCAACTATATGTCACAAATCTAATGTTGAGTAAAGGAAGCCAGATTCCAAAGAGCATAGGTTAGAAGTCAGAAGGGTTATTACCCTGGGAAGAGGTAGTGACTAGATGGGGACAGGAGGAGGCTCTGGATTGGCTTATCATTTTCCCGTTTTCTTTTTGTTTGTTTGTTTTCTCCACCCTACCCCCTTTTTAAAAAATAATTTTCTGTTTCTTGATTTAGGTGCTGATTACATGGCATATTGACTTTATGTAAACCTATCAAGCTGTATAATGCTGAACTAAAACCAATAAAACACCGGGTTATTTTATCACCAAAATGGGTTTATCCAGGAACAGAAGAATTGCAATTCAGGTCTCACAGTCTATGAGGAACTACAGGCAAGCCCAGAGAGCAAAGGAAGGGAGTCTGCTTTTATAAGGAAAAGGGGGGAGTTGGGAGGGGCTATTCTACATGAAAGTTCGTTGGAGGAAAGTAGGAGTTCAGGGGTGGCAATGACTTCTCATTGGCTGGGCTGTTGCTAAGTGAGGAGAAATTCTTCCTTTGGTATAGTAAAGCGGTTGCCCCTCCTGTTTGGGAGTGCAAGGTAGTTTCTTTCCGTGGGGTACACAATTGGCATCAAGGAGCAGGGCATGAGAGCTCCCCCTTCTGGCCTCTTGACTCCATCTTTTCTTTTGTTTTATAAATTTATTTATTTATTTATTTTTGGCTGCGTTGGGTCTTCCTTGCTGCCCTGGGCTTTCTCTAGTTGTGGCGAGCGGGGGCGCTGCTTTTCGTTGCGGTGCGCGGACTTCTCATTGCGGCGACGTCTCTTGCTGCAGAGCACGGGCTCTAGGCACGTGGGCTTCAGTAGTTGTGGTACGCGAGCTTAGTAGTTGTGATGCATGGGCTTAGTTGCTCCGCGTCACGTGGGATCTTCCCGGACCAGGGCTCGAACCCATGTCCCCTGCATTGCAGGCGGATTCTTAACCACTGCGCCACCAGGGAAGTCACTGACTCCATCTTAAGTGAGGTTTCTGTTTATTAATTTTCACAATACTCGTGATTATATTTTTTCTGTATGTATGCTAGTCTTCAATAAAGTAATAAAAACAAATAAAAATAAGGGTAGTCTGTGGGCCTCTGGTAAGCCTCAAGGAGAAATAAACCTTGGGGTTTTATAAAAAGCCATGATCTGTCTGGTGATTGATTCTTCTAGTACTAATAATCAGCTCTTGGCATATTCATGGGTTCTGTGAAGACCACTGACTGGCCACAGAATCCCAGGTGATGGTGCATTATCTGAGGCACCAAGAGATGAAGTGGGCAGGCCCAGCATCTAGTGGAAGTGTTATATTGGGGACTGAACCCAAGCTGGTCCTCAAGGCACAGGTAGTTCTGTGAAAAGTTCTCACACTTACCAGCCACTGGTGGCAGGTTGTTTACCTTGGATCCTTTCCAACTGGAAGGGTCATCAATTCCCCTTCATTGCAATAATGATTGTCATCACTGTTGGAAACTTTTTTTTTTGGCCTCTGCCCTATTGCTGCCAGCATCACCATCCCTGAACTTTACTATCTGTTTTCACAGTATAAATTTTTTTTTTTTTGCGGTACGCAGGCCTCTCACTGTTGTGGCCCCTCCCGCTGCGGAGCACAGGCTCAGCGGCCATGGCTCACGGGCCCAGCCACTCCGCGTCATGTGGGATCTTCCCGGACCGGGGCACGAACACGTGTCCCCCGCATCGGCAGGCGAACTCTCAACCACTGCGCCACCAGGAAACCCCACAGTATAAATTTTTTAAAGTTAAAAACATCACCCTCACACAAAACCATGGTGAGCACATATCAAAGATGTTACCTAACTCATCAATGGGGGAACTAGCAGAAAAATAAAGCTGGTTCAAGGGAGGACATGAGATATGAATATGTACAGACAGTGGGGGAAAAAATGCCGGAATTAAGTTGGAAAGTTTGATACAAAACTGGTTAATGTCTTTCAGGGCTGTCTTTTCTGGCAGAAAAAAATCACTTTGAAACATGAGAATCTTCCATAACTTTACTGAGTCTGGACCCTAATCAACAATTAAATATTAAGTCCAAGTGTCATCTAGAATGTCAGAAGCTCTTGGTGGACAACGTTGTAGTTTGACACTGAAAAAGCATGGAGAAATCTTGCTCCCTGGGATTCGCTGACATTTTCATTTTCCTCATTACCTAAAAGGAAATGGCCCTCAAAAGCAGAAGGCCCTCTAGAATTGTGGCTTATTGAAGCTTCAGAAATGGTGCCAACTGGAGACCAGATCTTGAAAGGACAGGGTACCATCTTCCTAGACATGGTCTGTGGTCTCACCTAGTATTGTTTTGTCTATAACTAGAATACACGGGGTTCAGAAATCAAGGCATAGAAGGGGAATGGCACCTTTCACAATGACACATAATGACCCACTTCTGTGCTTTTCCTTTCCATTCTCACAATCCTGCTCTACTAGCTCTCCGTGTGTTAAAAAAAAAAAAAAAAAAAAAAAACCCTTTTTTGGACAATTTAGTTATGAGCATGTGCCAATGTTTTATTACAATGATGCATGCAAGGAAAAAAGGTCTCTTGTAGGCCAACTGAAACATTTTCTCTTGGTAAGGTCATTTTATAGAAGAGAATTGTTAAATAACCCTATTAGACTACAGATTAGATCCAGGAAGAAAAGATGATCCAGTTAAAGATAGCAGATTCTTGGCTGGCAGTCAGCTGACTGTTAACTGGGTGGGCCACTGATTTCCCAGAAGTTTCATTCCATCAAAATTCAATAGAAAATGGCTTAATCATTTCACTTTATCAGGAATGCCAATTTCTTCCCTGAAGGAGGTTGTAAATCACCCACACGAAGAGCTTGTGTCCCAGACCAGGTTTGGGACATTTTAAATTTTATAGTAAGATTAATATAGCGGGTGATCTGGCACCTCTGTCTCCAGGATTTTGTCTGTTCCTGGAAACTAAGTCGTCCTTGCCTTGTTTCAGGGCCTGAAATAAGCTGTTTCTTTTGCCTGGAATTATCTCTTCTTCATGTCTCAGCTTAAACAACCCTGTCCCCCAGTATAATAGGAGCCCCCCTTACTCTTCAACTTAGAGTTTCTTTCCCCTGGGGCATTATCAGTTTTTAAGCTCCAAAAAGAAACTATGTTCCACTCGCCCATTACAGGACTTGGCACTATACAAGGAGCTCACAAAAGCATCGAATGAAGATCCTCTCTTGTAAACAGGACTGAACAGAATTTTTGCTGGGGGCAAGAGCCAAGTACCTAGACACCGCGAGGTTCAGTCTGCACCGATTAAACAGGCAGCTTGGACTTCCCTGGTGGCACCGTGGTTAAGAATCTGCTTGCTGATGCAGGGGACACGGGTTCGAACACTGGTGCGGGAAGATCTCACACGCCGCGGAGCAACTAGGCCCGTGCGCCACAACTACTGAGCCCGCGTGCTGCAACTACTGAAGCCGGCGCGCCTAAAGCCCGCGCTCCGCAGCAAGAGAAGCCAGCGCAATGAGAAGCCCGCGCACCACAACGAAGAGTAGCCCCGCTCGCCGCAACTAGAGAAAGCCCGCGTGCAGCAACGAAAACCCAAAGCAGCCAATAAATAAATAAAATAATTCTCACTTTAAAATTTAAAAATGGGCAGCCAATAGTAGCTCCCCTTAGTACAGTTGTGAGGATCAAAAGATTTTACGTTTTTATACTCGAACCCGGTTAGTGCTCCCATGTCCGGCATTTAAGATCTTCCACCTACTAAGCAAGCTCTAGGTTCTTAACTCCCCCAAAGCACTACCAAGGACCGCCCTCCCCGCCCACCCGCACCGCCCAAGGATAACATCATCAACCCAGGTCTCTAATGATGTCATCTCCGGGCCTGTTCTGCTTCATCCTCCGGAAACCTACAACTCCAGGCACCCGGTCTCCAGCCTTCGGTTATTTTTTTCTCTCCATAGCCCGAATTCCTTCTTTCCCATTCTCCCACCTAAAACTTTCGACTCTTCCCGCCTTCCCTCAAGGTAGCAATTTTCGGTTCTCCCCGCTTGCTCTCGAGCGAATTCCTCAAAGTCTTTTACTCTCTTAATTAATCGCTTCACTAGCCCCACACTTCAGCTCTTTCCATCTAAATCCTATTACCGCCGCCGGGCGTCAGTCGGCTGTTTCCGCCTCCTGTCACCCACCCTAGACACCGCCTTCGCTTCTTTTCGGATCACCTCAGTTCCTTGTTTTTTCCCAGTCCCGATTCGCTTCGGCTATTTCCGGCTCCCCGGGGCCTCCCATTCTTTCTCTAGCCCCACCCCCGTTAACAACTTCGGCTCTTTCCGCCTCTCGCGATCTTCAGCTCAGCTCCTTCCGGCTTTTTCCGCCTTGCCTCGGCCTCACTCTCTCCCTTCGGCTCTTTCCGCGGCCCTTCGGGAGAGCAGTCTGTGCCTCTCTCCTCCACGTGACGCCGCCTCCGCCTCCCAGTTCCCCCTCCCACCTCGCCCTTCCTCCCGCCTCAGCCTCTTGGCACGTCCGGGCCCGAGCCGCCATTTTGTATGAATTTCTGACTGCGGCGGGGGCCGGGAAGCCGGGGCACCAAGGGCCGGCAGACAGACAGTCGGCCTGTCTCTGCGGCCCGTTTCCTTTTCCTAAATTACTTTTTTTTTTTAATCGCCCTCGCTCGCTCTCCTCTTTTCCCTTTCCCCCTCGCTTGCTCCATTGCGCGCGGCCCGCGCTAATTACACCGAACTACCCACCAGTGTCCGTGTCCCCCGGGTCTCCCACTCCCGGGCCCGCAGCGGTGTGTGTGTGGGGGTGCTCTCGCCCCGATGAGGGCCCCGCGCCTGTGAGCGAGTGACCCCAGGGGCGGGCTGCGGAGAAAGCAGGCGGCGAGCGGCCCGCTGAGGCCTAGGCCGCGCGGCCTACGCGGAGGTCGGCGCAGAGGTGATTCCGACACTGAAAAAATATATACCCATTACTATCAGGAGCCCTCAGAGCTGAAGTGTGCCCCTCCCGCCACGCCCAAGCAGTCCTTTTTCGTGCATTAACATCCCCTCCCCCCCAAAGGAACTATGGAGGCCGCGCCCGGGACCCCCCCGCCGCCGCCATCAGAGTCGCTGCCGCCGCCATCGCCGCCACCGCCATCAACGCCTTCGCCTCCTACGTGTTCCCCCGACGCCTGCCTGGCCACCCCGCACCTCCTCCACCACCGCCTCCCGCTCCCTGACGACAGGTCAGGCCCCCGGCCCGGCCGGGGCGGCGTCCCCGGGGGGAGGTTGAGGAGGAGGAAGAAGGGGGGCGGCCGCCATATTGGGCCGGGCCGCGGAGGAGGAGGAGGAGGAGGAGGAAGGGCGGGGTCGGTGGGTGTCTCTCGCTCGCTCGCTCTTTCTCACTTGCTTTCTCTCCCGGCCTCATGCGTTTCCCCCCCCTCGCGGCGCTCGCCCGCT